TTCTATTCTCTTTCTAGTATGGTTCCTTCATAAGAACACGGAACGCCCAGCTTCGCAGAGCAGCTCTCTCCCCAGACCAGAGCATAGTGTGGAATCTGGGTCGTTTCATCGAGCACCATTTCTTTTAGATAGAAAGGTATTCTGACTTTATTGGATCAAATAAGAACCTAAGCCTTCTACTAGTTTGGACAGACTAAGCTCTATTTCATAGATTGGACTCTTTTACTGTGATTCGCCCCTACTAGTAAGAAGCTGTTCGTTCCCTGGATCCACGTGTTCCTAGTCGGGCCTAAATGGATGAATGAAGAAGCGCGCCCGGGTAGACTTCAAGAGCTCTTTCTCTGCGTATCCTCCTACTTCTTATTCTGGGCGGTCATAGAAAGATACGAACCGCCTACTCTTTCAAGCCCTACCATTAGATTGAATAAAATGAAAGCTGCTTGCCCTCAGTAATAAAAAACAGCAATCCCTCCCTTCTGTTACCTACTTTTACTCATATCTTCGCGGTATACCTCAATACAAGACAAGCACAGGAAAGGATATTCAATCAAAAACCGGGCTATCACCCTATCTAAGCAGGTTTCCCCTCTCCTCTACGGAAGTCATCTTTTAATCTATTTAAGTTCCTGTGTCTATCGCTATCGTCCTATTTTCTCTCAATTGCCTATCCTTATAGATGAGGGGGAGTACCTTAGCAGTAGCTTCCCAACAACTTAAGATTGACCTCCTCAAGTGCCAGATATGAATGTTTTATTAATTTCATACGGGACTACTTACTTACCTAAAGTGAACTTTTGGCTACCTAAAAAGTGGACTGAAGGAACTGACCTAAGCATAGCTCTCTCAAATAAAAAATGCCTTTCATTTCTCTTTAAGACCTTTGTCCTACTTCTAGTCTCAGTCCTCCAGCCTATCGAAAGTCATCTTTTTATTAACATTAACCAACAACACATGCACTTTGTTGGCACTAAAAAAAAAGGTTATTCAATCCACTAGTGCAACTGAAGGAATTACCTCTTCTGAACCGGAATAAGAAAGAGCTCATAACCACTACTTGTGAACAGCTCTCCTCAACTGAAGGCGCACCTACTGTTACTAGAAGTCTAGTCTCTCTCAGGTCCAGTTTCGATCTCGAACTACAACATAGGCGGGAAAAGAGATATTCAGAAAAGCCGATTTCCTGTCCTGTCTTAAGAACCTGACTCAAAAGAGAAAAAAGACCGGACTAAAAGAGATCTCACTTTCGACGATTGAACTCCACTTTCATATCAGGCTTGCACTGGAATTCACTTTCAGGAATCCTTGCTCCTGGCTCATATTCACATAGGCCACTCATAAGAATAAGACGTTCAACTCCCTCAAACACGTGTAATTGAGAGAGTCAGAATATCAGTGCCTTGGGTAAATGTCTACCTTCGGGAGAATCTTACCGAACGACTTTAAAACCTGTCCTCTTCGCTTCCCAAGAGATTGGATTTAGGTAAAAGGGCCTTGTCGGCCACCGCTTTTATTTTCATTCATTTTTCCTATTAAAAAAAAAAGAAAAGACCCCCGCTCGAACTAACTTTCAACGCTCGAACTCCAGAACGAAACTCAAGTCATTGCTCATTCCCGCTCATGCTTGCTATAACAATTCCCTTGCCTACTAGACTTGTCTAAGAAAAGATGCACGAGCCACTCTTTCTCTTATATACGGTATTTTAAGATAGTGATTTGAATGCCTATCCCCTGCCTATGCTAAGCCTTTACTACCTACCCTTACCTGTCCGCCTTGAACTACTGCGCCTGCGCATACCTTTTCTTGCTCCACCAGAAGGTAGCTTGAACTGGCATTGTACAGATAGATAGCCAGTAGAAAGAACTATTCCCAAGCTGGAGAGGTGGGAGAGGAGAGAAATTGAAGTGGATCTCCTATCTATATTCGACAGCTTGAAGAGGCGGATTTAGAAAGCAAAATTTTCATTGAAAGCGATTGTGCCTACCACAGTCAAGTTCGGTATTTACTAGCAAGGAAAAGGGTAGGATCTACCAAGACGGGTGGCATGTGAACCGCTTTGGAGTGAATCGGTTAAGAACCGCAGATGGCACATCGAATCCCGCAGCCACTTTGCTGAGTTGATAGATAGATAGATGAACTAGCCCGAGGACCAAAGGAGAGTACTTCTTTTGCCATTGGAAGCTGCTGTCAGTAGGCATTCTTTGCGCCAGAAAGAGAGATTGTATTGTAGCTTAACTTCTTAAACAAAGCCGGCTCCAGTTCTATTCAGAATAGGGCAAGAAAGCGACTTGCCGCCTCAGTCACGAAGGAATACCGAAGAGCCTAAAGAGGTGTTAGAATGCAGCTAGATAGAGAACTATAAGATAAGAGGGATTCCATGGGTGAGAAGGCTGACATGAAGGCTCTCATTCCAACCGGTAAAGCGCAAGGGGCAAGCAGTTGACTCTTTCACTCGGACTCACTAGCAACTCCAGGAGCGACCCCTCATCATCTTACGATGAAAAGCAGGTTTATTCCGTGGTAAACCACAACGAGTAAGCGAGATAGGGTGAGGTAAAGCCTCAGACCGGTCAAAGGAGCCTCCGTAAAACCTCATCAGACAGGTAGCGGAAGCTGATAGAAAGGGGCGATGAGCTCAGTAGGAGAAGCCGTCCTGATGAAATAGAAAGCCCTAGCTATGAGTGACTCAAATCTAGCCGTGATGCGCGAGGGCCAATATTCAAATGAAAGCAAGGGGCTGATTGCCCTCATGGGGAAGGGATGAATACGAGCAGTCGGAAGAGCAGCTCTCTCAGAAGCAACCAATCCAAGAATTGATGGATTTGGTAGAGTGCCAGTCACAACACTAGAACCAAGTTAGGTGAGCTTGAAGGCATCGGTTGAAGCCCTTAGTTGCAAGGTCTTTGACTGTGCCCAAGAAAGGGATGGATAATAGATCTTAGATAGTTCCCACTTCCACTTAACAAAGGAAAGATATCACACACTACACAAGACAATCATGTGCAAGCTGCTTGAGTTGAATCAGCCTCAATTCCTCTCTCACTCACGATGAAAGCTAAGAGCTTGCTCGAAGACAGCCTTTACTTTATAGTTGTAATCTATTCCTATCCTATCCTTTAGGCGGGATAGGTTCATAGGAGGACTTGGTTACATAGGAAGGAAAGGCTTAAACTAGAAGGGATAAGAAAAGGAATTTGTGCAACACTCTTAGTAGAAGGCCGAGTTGAACTCCCTCTATCCGCGTACAGGACAAGCAAGTTATTGAGGGCTCTTTATGCCAAATACTTTGACACTACAGGGGAGAAAACCAGAAATCTCCTAAGCAATAAAGATCTTCCTATTGATACTAGCATTAGTGCGACTGGCTCCCGGGGAAAAGGAATTACACTAGATCTTGGCAATGGCACTCCAACAAGCTCGGCAGGGAGAGAAAGAAGAGAAGGAGAAGAGGAAGTACGACGAAAAGGGTATGAAATAGGTTGCTTGTAGCGATTTCGATTGCTTATTCGGTTGGGATTACCAGCCGACTTGCCTGACCAAAGAATAAGATAAAAAGAAGAGTTCCCGCCTACGGCTACATGCCCATTCAGAGCTATACCTGGAGTCGAGCTAACTGCATAAGAAAAGGGGAACTTTCCTAAAAAGCCTAATAGCAATTAACCGCATTGGAAACGACGAATCACACTCTGAAAGGAGGCACCCTCCCTTATTACGTTACGGTCGAACCTCGCCTTTCTTCCTTCCTCTCCCGTTGGTCGAGCGTCTTCAAACCTTCGCTCCAATACTTTCGAACAACTCTCGTACCCTTCGCTCATAAGCTAACTAAGAGCATGCCTTCGATCCGGCGTGAACTCTTTGCATTGCCTTTAGAGTAGATGTAGTAGATTGAGATCTCTCGACAACCGTAAGAGGTTAAGGTTCCAACCTGGGATTGTAGTTCAATCGGTCAGAGCACCGCCCTGTCAAGGCGGAAGTTGCGGGTTCGAGCCCCGTCAGTCCCGACGCCGGATTCAAAAAAGACATCAATTCCTCTCTCCATTTTCTGTGGACAAAGAGTAGGATCTAATTTCCCAGCAGGAGGATCCTTCTTTCGTTTCGCATTTCTCATCGGACAAATAAAGTAAAGGAATCCAAATGACAATAACTAGTAACGGGGATAGACATATGTAGATTGGTACAATCGGGGGTATCACCATATTCAGGATTCAAAGAGATACCGTACTGGTCGAGCTTTTTTCGATTGTTCCTCCTGGTCCATCGAATAGAAAATTTTGTGGTATATCGTATAATAAGATCAAGGCTGCACGTGAATCTGACTCTAAAATTTTTAGGAGCCTCTTGCTTTTGGTGAATTACCGGTGCTTAATGCAATAACCGGTGAGCAGACTTGCGACGTGCTTACGCCATCGCGGACGTCCGGGTATGGATTACTGGAGTGAAGGGATTGGCGCGAACCAGAGTGTGCTTCGAGACCATCTTTCTCTCAGGAAAAACAACGAACAGGGGACGACCTCGTTCCCGAGTCTCATCAATCTCAATGTCTATGGGTCCACAGCCCGATTGAAAAAAGTTTAACATCCTGAACGAACTTCTTTCCTTAAACCCTCGTAAGGTATCTCTATCACTCGTTACGCCGAATCAATCAACAAGCAACCATAATTTTCTATCTTCAACGCTTCAGGCAGGTGGCCTAGCTAACACAGCAAGGACTTACACCATATACTCAGTGCCCCTAATAGATGTGGAATTAGACTTTCTCTCTTCTATTTTTTTTAGACGGATATCGAACTCCTTCTTGGATTCAAAAAATGTGGGTAAAGAGTATTAACAGAAAATATTTCATCTTTCCTTGATGCGGCAATAAATAGTCCTGACTTTCCTGAAAGCTTACTAAGGTGCGACGCCTGATTGTGAGTCTCATAGCCATACGAGAGCTTGGAATTACACCCTAGAAGGAGTTAGTCAAAGCCTTCCTTTCGCCCTCGCTTTCCTTCATCTCATGCATCTGGGGAAGGAAGCGAAGCTGTTTAAGTAAGAGTTAGCGCCTATGGAAAAGAGATTTTAATCGCTTTGTGGCGGGATAAGCTGTGATCTTATTCCTAACTTGGGATATTAAGTAAAATAACATCACTCATTGGCAAAGCATGAATTAGCCTTCGAGTTGTGGCTTCTTGTTCATCTTTCACTATCTGACCTTTCATTTCAGGTTCTCTTCTCTTAGTCTTCCATGGCCCATTCCTCTAGAAATGACTTTTTAATAACCTAATAAGAGATCTATTACGCGCATCATCGCATAATCTATTTTCTTGGAAGGAATTAGCTAACTAGCCTAGCTGACAAGGCATGGCATGAATGGCGGGATGCTAACTCGATTCGCCCTTGCCTCTACGGGATTACTACCTTATATAAAAAAATAGAAAGCACCAAAGGTAAGCAGTTCCCAGTCGAAAGATAAAATTATTCTTAGCAGTTAAACAAGTGAATGGAATTTTTTTCCCCCTATTGGTTGACTGGGCTTCCCCAGTGTCATCATCGACCCGCTCCTGCACCATCTCATCCTTAGTGAATAAAAAAGGGTGCTTGTGCTTCTTAAGTAGCATTTACTTACCTTCTTCATCGAAGGCTTCCATTGATAGGGAACTGTTCTATCTAATGTGGCATTATCACGTGCGGCAAGTGTTTCTGCCTCATCCCCACCCCGATGGCTATAGTCGAGCAGAAATGACTTATCTATTTAGTAGCTGAACCAAAGAGAAAGTAAGCCCCGTCGCTCTCACTACAGCCTTTCACTTTAACCGGGCATAGGCCCTCTTTCCTAATTCATCTACTGGTCTTATCTTACAAGCACCAGAATGAGAGAAGGACTTCCTGGCTTGACTTTATCACATAAAAACTTCATTAGTATAGATCTGTAGCCCGTTCTGGGTCTTTAACCGAAACTGGGACTAGGCATGGAAAAGCTCGATCAACGTCCTTCTCTCCCGAGGTTCGAAATGTGGAGGTACCTTTACCGTCACCTGCTAGCTCTGTCCGCCACGGGTTAGCGACATAAAGTGCGAATAAAGGTTCATCGGGACATTTTCTTCAACAACTGAAGCCCTTATTATCCCAGCCTCCAAAGGAAGTAAAGACTACAAGTCCCTATGGAAGTTCCTTGCCCACTTCTTGGCATCTGCCTTTATTATGTTTCATGTCCGCAAATCGTATTCATGTCCGACCCCCCTTCTCTGTTGGCGAATCGACTTCAGCTCCTGTACTTCTTTCTTTAGGGCCGTCTAAAAAGTCTTAAGTTCTTGAAATTCGGCTCCTTTTGAAGCGGAGAAAGGGTGAAAGCTAATAAGAACTTTTTTTCATAACTTACTTGGAAAATGAAACTCATGCCTTTCCTTAATCAGTTACTTGCCTCCTTCTGCTACTATTGATTCAATTCCAAAGATGGAGGAAGTGAAAACAGACTGAAAAGGATAGGAAGGAGACTCGACCTTAGGGAGATAAAATCCCTTTTTCTCAATCTCTTCTAGTTAGTAGTACCTACCGGATGAATTACTTCCCTTAAAGGCCTACCTTCCTTGGCACATAGATTAGCATTATTCCCCTTACCTTAGATACGGAAAGCATGTCAGACTGTAGAGTGGGCTTCCTACAATCGGGGGCGAGTCACCTTCATGCGGGGCTACCTAGCTACCATGGAAGACAAACCTTCCCCCATTGTCCATTCGAAGGGCGCTGACTTTCATTATCAGGGTATTTTCGAGGGGTGAAAGGTGCATGTGGGGTTTTCGTACGCGGCTTAAAGCAAGCATTTCAGGCATTTCTTAATGAATAGCTAGATGGTCTCCGCCGTCTAGGATCTATAGATAGAGACCACGAGGGGAGAAGAACATCATCAAGTTCCTTTTTTCCGGGATTTTGGCTACCTATAGGCGAAAGAATTCTACTTTTATCGGCTGACTATTCATAGGCGAACGAATTAGGCTTTTGAGAAGGACTAAGCAGCAATCTCAGTGAAACGTGAGAGGCTCATTGCGTACGAGCTTCAATAGTGAGAGCTAAGCTAGGAACGGGGAAGGATGAGCAGAGAGGGAAGGACTTTCTAACTGAACTTGACTTACCCATAGAAGGAACGACTTAAAGGGTTCAGGTTTCTGGTTGAATACCTATCCCTGCCTTCTAGCATTCATGCCTCATCTTTCAGATTGATCTAGCATTCCATACCGGATTTCTGATATCTCTATCTTTTTGATCCGGATTTCGTATCTATCTTTCTCATATTTGACTGATTTTGTATGCTCATGCCTAATCCTCTTGATTAGACTATCTATGCCTATCTTTCAATCCGGATTTGATATCCCTCTCTAACCTCTTCAAGGCATGGGAAACCTAAAAAAGCAAAGGAGAGGCTAGCGGCGAAAGCAGATTGATAGGGGGTCACCCGGCTCTTTCTAACTAAAGGTCGGCGTATCCTATCACCTAATCTTTCTAAGGAGCGAGAGCATGGGAAACCTCTCAGATTGAACTAGGCCTTCTGAAGCATACCTTGCATCGTCTAACTGCCCCCGCTAAATCATGATTGAATGTCTCATTTTCCTCTTTCTTCTTTCTCGTCTTTGACACCATTCGTCTGATCATGGCTAAGACTCACTAACATTCTCTTTGCCAGCAGGCTCCCACTTGCTGGTTCCGGGCTTGCTGGCCTATAATCCAGATTGATCTATTCAGATTGAGGAAACACCGAGTTCAGGTCTTCTTTCTATGCCCCAACTGGAGAAACTCTGAGATTTCTCACTATTCGTATGAAAATGGGGAAACAGTCTTTCTCAGACTCAAATCCTTCTTTTTTTATGCCACGGACTCCCCGAACGGACTTATAGCAGCAATACCAGCCAGAACCTCTGATGAGACCTATCCATCGTACTATCACTCTCCGCTATTAGAGAGGCTTTTCACCCACATGCGGGTCATCCTTCTCTAATACCTGCTATAGGCAAGCTAAAATAAGGGTCCACCCTCATGCTTTAAGCCTATAATAGAAAGGGTATAAAGAGGTATCCTTAACGTGGGTTTTACCTAGGTAAAATAGCATTCTATTGGGATCAAAATCCCCTTACATGTATTGGATGAAAGGTCCTAACTCCTAGCAAAGTCATTCTTCACTGTTTTTCCCCTTACCTTTGCCTGTCTTGAAAGCTTCTGGCCGGGGAGATGCGGAACATTCTTTGCCTCATCTTTCATGCCTACCTACCATGCTAATCAAGATGGAAGATCTCATTTCGAATTTGAGTTTGGAAACTTCCCTAGTTTCAATGGGTAACGTGTTCCGCTGCTTGGACTGACTCTTGCTATTGGAAACATATGCTCCCTAACGGTTTGGGCCCTTCCTTTCGTTTGATGGCATGCGCCTTCTTAGAATAAGGCTAGGAGCTATTCTCCAGTGATGGCTGCCTTCACCCTATGAGTGGGGTCTTTGCCTGGAAAAAAGGCTTTCACTATAGAAAATTCTCAAGTAGATGTTCCCTGAAATGGTTGCTCTTTCGAAAGCAATGGTTGCTAGGAATGGTTTTGCTGTCTAGCTCTTGCAAGCAAGGCGTGAAGCGATTCTCTTGAGCTCTAACCGGCTAAACCCGCTTTGGTGGCCCGCCCCAAGTCTTGCCCATAGCTGACTTCTTTGCTAGATGATATCGAATAGTACGACTAGAGTTCAATCCCTCAGAAAGTCATAGTACGACTACAGGGAAAGAGATCTGAAAGTAGCCTTTTACCCCGTTATTCGATGGTGAATGCAGCCTAGCTCTCCCCATTCAATAGGCTAAGCCTA